ATGGTATACTAGGAGAAAATAAGCTCTCTTTTCAGTAAAGTTTTAATTTCCTCCCCGCAAATTAGTGGTCTGAGTGGTTTGCCTTAAAGGCAGGCAGTAGGAAAGAACTTGTCATTCAGGTATTACAAGAGTTGTTCTTTGTATTGGAGTTTCATTTGTGACCTGTTTCCAAAATTACAAGCCGGTCACATCTAAACAGTTTTGAAGTAGCTCATAAATCCTAAGATTTATCCTAAGATAAATCCTAAGATACGTGTTTTCTAGTGGCTTGTGAAATCTATAAATCGCTCTCTTTGGTCAGAGACTTAAAATAGAAGTGCTGGTATAACATGAACTATGAAAATACAGTGATCTTGGTCAGATTCTTTGGGTCTTAGCTATACACAAGACATCTTGCATAACAGTAGCCTCAAACAAAGCTACATGTATGCTTAGGAGTTGCAGAATCTGGTTCTGTTTATGTATCTTTATGATTCAGAGTTAAAGTGTGAAATCTGATAGTTTGGGGGTTGGTTTGTTTAAACTCAGTACTCTTCATTTAGTAGGATCTTGACCTTATCTTAAATGTCATCAGAATATATTTGGTATTTTCAGATGCAGTAGATACATAACATGTATCCACATCCAGTAATCATGTATTCAAATTCTGACACAACTTTTTGGAATTAACCATGTAAATTTGGTGGTTTGACTTTTTAGATATGATAGGATTAGACTTTATATCCACAATCCAGTAAAGACTGAAGCGCTTGATTGGCCTGATGCTTATGAGCCGTGCACTTAAGAGAATTGCTCATGTGAATACAGTTAGGCCTATACATTTTTGGAGAGCCAAGGCTTAGATGTGCGGCTTCAGCATACACCAAGTAGAAACATAAAAGTATTCCTGTGTTGCTGAAGCTCGAGTTCCTATGTGCTGATTATAAGTGAATTTTTAAATGTTTCATTAAGAAAATAATTTGTATACATTGTTCTATTTACTGACACAAAAGGAAATTCTGTTTTTCAAAATAATCCTAGAAGCAGATAAGGTGTAGGTGAGTTTTGTTTGCTTGTTTTGTTTTTGTTTTTAATAAAGGTATTACAGCAGTGATTTGTACTTACCCTCTTGATATGGTTAGAGTTCGTCTGGCGTTCCAAGTAAAAGGGGAACACAAGTACATGGGAATTATCCATGCATTCAAGATGATTTACACAAAGGTATTTTTTTTTTTAATCTTCAGTCCTGTCAAAGCAAAATGTGCTCTTTAAATAATGTTGCACTGCATTGAAAATAGTGACTTGGTGGAAAATTCACACATGAATTCATTGTGTGTGCCCTGAACTTCTTACTGTAAAAAAAAAATTACCTGGATGCTTCGCTACTTAGAAATAGCTCAGACTGGTAGAAGTGGGAAGTCAAAAACAGCAGAGAGAAGTTGGTTTTCAAGAACAAGTAGTAATGACACCAAAAAATATGGGGAGGAAGGGGCGTGTGTATTTCAGAAACATCTCCTAGGTTCTGATGTTGGATGTAGGTTTTGTTTTTTGTTTTTTGGTTTTTTTTTTGCTCCTTGTTCTTTTTTTTTCCCCCCCTTCTTTATCTCCTCTTGAGCCAGGCAGTCCTCCCCTCAGTTCTTCAGGCACAAGAAATTCAACTTGATTTTTAGCTCCTTGTTGCTAGTTGATGCTAGTCAGATTGCTTTTGTGTGAAACTGTATGATCAGGTCTAAAAATTGTTAAGACATTTGTAATATTTCTTGCCACAAATTTGTCTGTATTTTCCTTTCAAAGGAAGGTGGTTTTCCCGGGTTCTACAGAGGTCTGATGCCAACTGTTGTAGGAATGGCTCCATATGCGGGTAAGTTAAAAATGGAACACGCCAATCCTTCGGCAGCTATGTGCGTTACTAAATTTACGTAATGTATTTGCAGTCTTAGTTAGGCTTCTGTTAAAAGGAAGAATTCTGTTTTTATGAAGACTGAGTGGAGGGGAAGGCCACAAAGAGCATTTGCAACTCTTTAATCTTATTCTAGAAACGATGAATGTGTGTTAAAGCATCTTGATTAGGCAAAGTCTAACTTTTCTGAGACTTGAACCTGAGAGGGAGAGAGGTAAAGTGGTGGTTCTCTTTCTCTTCTGCCTTCCAATTTTCCCATAAGAATAGGGTCCCTTTCTCAAACAAGTAAATCTTTGAGAGGCTGGAAGTCCTTTATAGATGGAGACTGGAGCTTCTGTATTGGCTCCATCTCCTGGTTACTTCTGGATAAGCACTTGAACAAACTGAAGTGATTGCTGACAGGGGATGGAGGAGCATCAGAACTGCCTACCCGAACTACTTTCATACTTAAAAAGATAAGAAACGTTTTACTAATTTCTTCAGTTAAACAGATTTTCAGAGTTACTCTTAACAGCAGTCCAGTGATTTAAAAACCACAGTCTAGCTTATTTGAAGCGTTCTTTTAACGTTAACTATAAATGTTAATTCATTTATACAGAAGTTACTCTAGAAGTTTAAAGCATTGTATGTCTATTCTATTTCTTTGTGCTTAAGGAAAAACATCCAATAGAACTGGGAAATAATTTCACTTTGTAAGCGCAGCTTTGTGTTATAATGATACATACATCAACAAAAAGTTTGCTGTTTTGTGGAAGTCTATATAACATTAAATTTCCTTTCAGGTTTTTCATTTTTTACCTTTGGTACCTTAAAGAGCATTGGACTTGCTCAAGCACCTAACTTGCTTGGACGGCCTTCATTAGACAATCCTGATGTCTTAGTTTTGAAAACACATGTAAATCTGCTGTGTGGTGGCATAGCTGGAGCGATAGCTCAGACGATATCGTAAGTTTGGGGTGTTGTTTGTTTTTAGTTTTGTTTTGTTTTCTCTACATAGCTGTTCATTCTAAAGAAACTATGTTACCTGAGAATAAGATATTTTGCAAATCTAGTTGTTAATTTTTTTTTTAATTAAGTTAATCTGATACTGGAACTCACTTATTTCAGTGTTTCACATACTACATATATATTTAGTCTTCAGAGGCTTTGAATAAAATCAGATAAAACTTCTACTAAAATCAGTTGGAATATTCTTTGTTAAGCTGTTAAATTTGTCCCATAAATATAATTTGCAGAATTGTATTATTCCATGTTACTTTTAAAACAATGTCATTTGCAAAGCCATGGAATACGAAACAGATGTCTAAGATATTGTATTTGGCATTAGTTTATTTTTACTTTGCCTGCTCTCTCCAATCTCACGCTGTCCTTGTTGTATTTTGTTTTTGGCCATAAAGTAAATTAATTTGGACTTATTTGGCATCATTTTTTCACTACATGACTGCATTATAAATGTAACAAATACATTTTCTATTAATCCTTAAACTGTTAGTTTTATTTTTGATTCGGATATCTTCTCCCTCCAGCGTATTACACAGACTGTTGTATACTCTCATCTGATCTTCATGTTTCTCCTTTGCTTGTGCCAAATGGAATATACTAAGAGATCTGATTTGCTGGTTTTTATTATATAGGGGAAGTCTCCCTTTTTGGAGAACTTTCAGCTGTGTTGAGAATCTGAGCTGGATTCCTCCTGACTCACTGAAAAGGAAGTTTGGAGGTTTCGCATGGACTTCTTTGTATTCTTTTTTGTAACAATATTTGTATAGTCATCAAGCATCTGGTTGAACTGCTGTTCAAATATCTCCTCTGTAGATATCCACTTGATGTAACTCGTAGGCGAATGCAGTTAGGAGCAGTTCTCCCAGACTCTGACAAGTGCCTGTAAGTGTTTTCTTTACACAGTTAATGACACTTTCATTGCTAATGCTGGATTTTTGTGAGCAAGTTTTTGTTTGTATTTCAACTGAATTTGCAGTGGCTTTCCATAATATCAATAGGATCCTTAAGACGAGAGTCTGCCTGCTTCTGCTGAAGTTAGATGTTTCTGAGATTTTTTTATGGAACAGATTCTGCACCATTTAAAGTGAATTTTGTGCAATACTGTTTTTATGACCTTTTTTGTATTTCCACTAATGTCACTCACACAGATTGTAGTTGGGGCTCCAAGATCTAATGCCTCCAGGTTTTTAGCAGTTTGCTTCAGTGCAGTAGATGTGGAAGTACCATAATAACATTAAAATCAGAGTATTAAATCACCTTACATCTTTAAAAAAAAAAAAAAATCTGAATTTCAGATTGCCCCAACCAAATTCAGTACCAGGAAAGTTTTATCTTGGTTGCTTTCAACTTTGTGGAATTGTGGTTCTCTGAATCTAGTATGATTCAGTGTTAACTCTCATATGGCAAATTTGATCTTACTAGCAGTAGTCTTACTTTTAGTTACCTTTCGTAAACACCCTAGAAGTATTTACTGCAAAAATTGCTGTTCTGTTCTCCTTAGCAGCATCAATTTTTAGCTTAACTATTTTCCACTTCAGCTACTTCTAAAATAAAAACATATTAATTGTTCTTGGGCTTGTTTCCTCTTTTTCTGAGAATTTATACCTTTACAGACATTAGGCTGCTTAATTAAACAATTTGTTGCAACTTGTTGTATTTGGAGACAGCCGTGCCTGGAAGGATAGTAGACAAGTATGTCTTGAGAGAATGGGAGGATAAAACAAATAGGAAATCGTGAAGCTTTGAAGCATATGGAAGATGCTCTTAAAGGATAAATGTCTGTTAGCTTGGAAATATTGAGCACCTTCTAGATTTTTACTCAAGAGCTTTGGATTTTAGTATCCGTTTGCTTTGTTTCAATTTAGGTATATGAGGAAAATCATTCCCCTTGCATACGTACTGCAAATTCTGCTTTAATAAGATCGAATGTCACACTTACCACAAATGCTAGCATTCCTCTCTTGAGGAAAAAACACTAGGTCTTCTGAAAAGGAAAAAAAATATACGAGTGCAAGGTGTGAAATACAGGATTAAACATACATTTTACGGGACTAAATGTAAACATAACTGTAGAAGGAAGGACCTGTGCTTAAAGAAAAAGAATGGGATACAAGCCTAAATTCTTAACCCTAATTTAAAAGGGGATGTTATACTGGGAAAACTATATTTTGCTGTTGTTCTGTATCACATCTGTAGGATATAAATGGTGCTTCTCAACTCCCTCCTGCCAGATAAGACAACAATGTGTGTAGCCATTCTGGTGTAAAATTTCTTTCTCTATCTTTTATTTTCAGTCTGAAAAAAATTGTCCTTTTTTAGATGAGATTGCACTGTCCCTTCTGTCCCTTTACAGAAAGCAGTCCAAGCAGATAATCCCCGTTTGTCCGCACTTGAATCTTTTCTTTCCAATTTCCAGCCTTTGTGCTTAAGTTTCTTGCAGAAGCTCAGACTCTCTTCCAAGTCCTGAAAGTACCTTCGTGCTCCACTTTGTGGAGTCACACGCCTTTTTTTCTATAGCTCTCTTAAGAACCAAATATAATAAGTGAAGAAAGTGATTTTGACTATTGAATGTGTGTATTCAATAATGATTTGAGTTCTTTTTTTTCCAGTACAATGGTGCAGACACTGAAATATGTGTATCAACAACATGGAATAAGAAGAGGATTATACCGGGGCTTATCTCTAAATTACATTCGTTGTATTCCTTCACAGGCTGTGGCTTTTACCACATACGAACTCATGAAACAATTCTTGCACCTCAACTAAAACATTTTTCAAACTTTACTGTAAAACTACACTATCAGTCTTCAAACTCTATTTGTGAGTAAATTACTTGAAATTTAAAAATCTATCTGTTACTATGGAACTGCTGTTGTCTGACAACTTAGTTTTATTTGCCAAAACATGGTTAGTTTCCTGGAGTCAAGCCAGGGGACAGGTCAAAATGAGCAGTAGTTAGCTATAAGCATTTGTTTGCACTTGATCTTGTAAGCTTCCTTAGATTAATGTTAAGAATTACACAGTTTTACAATTATGCCCAGATTTTATACGGGTTTCAAGCTGTTAGTTATTTAGCTTTATCACCATTCCAGAAATCATACTCATGGTCATTTTGCTTTTCAGGCTAGTAGTTAGGCATCTGTTCTTCTTTAAAAATTAAATTGAAATTAAAATTAAAAAATTAAATTGAATAAGCTGATTTGAATAACACATAATGATTTTAAAATTCAAATATTTGTCGTCCTTGTAGAAGCTGAATTCAGTAGACCCCAATTTAAGCATCATTTCATTCTTTTTTTTTGTACAAGTTTTCTGTACAGTAAGTACAGTAAGTATGTATTTCTGAACAATACATATGTCTTCAGATGGGTACATATGAAAGCCTCTTCAACCATTTCAATAACGAATGAAATGTATTTAACGTTATTAGCAATCTTGCAATATCAGTTTCTTTGCACCTTCCCTTTAAAAAAAAAAATCTCTATCTATCTACACAATTAAAAACAGGACTGGGGCAATATTAGTTTTATAACAAGAAGTGTTAGAAGAAATCTTTTAAGCACAGGTAGCATGGGCCTGCTCTTGCAACATGTACCTTTTCTGTGGTGCTGAATGTTCTCAAATCAGCTTTCAGTAAGCTGAGTGTATTATGTACTTTCCACTACTGGCTCCTACGAACAGGTTTGTCCCTACCTTAAAACATGGTGACAAACAAAACTGCATGCTGCTGCATTTACTTACTTGGGCACATGGGTGATAGTCAACCTCTTCGCCAAAAAAAAAAAACAAAAGGATTGTATTGGAGTCTGTAGATGTGTATGTGTACTGTCTCTAAAGTACGGTATGCAATAGACTATTACACTTTTTCTTCTCCTACGATTTCTTTTGTAAAGGAATTACTTTCCAGACTTGTTTATACATGATTTGCATTGGTACTCTTGATTTTATTCACTTGATTCAGGAAACTGTAAAGCATTTACTTTAAGTGCTGTAAGTTATTTATTTATTGTAAATATTTTAGCAGTGTCCTTTAAGATTTGATAATGGTTATGTTAACTAAACTGATGGTTGGTAAAATCAGCTTGCTTAATTCTGGCGCATTGACAAACTGGACTTTGAATTATATATCCAAGAATTTTTGTGGCTTATTTTTTTCCCCTAGTTTCTTAAAATTATATATTTCTTTGATATTTAATAATGTAGTTACAGAGAGAGAATGAGATGTATTTGAATTTATTTTATTAAAAATCTTGAACTAATATCTTTGTGTGATTTGTAAGTGTTGCAGCCAAAAAAATGCATGTTTCTGGAATTATCTGTATGTTTCCCTCTGTAGGTAAACTTGCCATAAAACTGTCATTCTTAATTAAAAGAGACAACAATTAAGATCTTGGTCTGATCTTTAGTTTTATTTGAAGGAAAATTGACTATTAGCACAGTGATTTTTTTTTTTAATTAAAAGTCCTTATGGGAGAGTTAAATCCACTATTTAAAGTGAGATGTGCCATTTTTATTTCTTTGTTGTTTTACTGTGCAAGCAAAATAACTGTCTTGTCAAGTTTGTGCATCAGTTCTAAGACTTGATGCCAGTCGTCTTTCTTTTTTAATAGTGTTAAGGATGTTTAGAGTTTTACATTTTAATTTCATTAAAAGTGATATATTTTAGGAATGCCAATTTGCACTTATGTCTTGAAAAATTAAGTTTTGTGCAGAATAAAGTGTAATCCAGCACGTTCACTTACAAGGGGGTAAAAAGCACTAAAAACTGTCCCCAAAGCAATTGAATAGGATACGGAACGTAAGAAGTAGAATTACTGGATGAAACAGTACTGTATTTTCAGCATTAGTTTTTCAAAACAAAATTTTAAAGTTTTTTAATTTTTAGAAGAATCAGAAATATAATACTACTTCAAAAAGGCTTATGAGAGAAACATACGTATGCCCAGGGGCTAGTTTGGAGGAGACTTGAGCTTCCTTCTAAGTTTTTGGGCAGATATTTCAAAAATAGCTAACCCTTTCAGACAATTTTAATTCAGTTAAAACGCAAAATTTATTATGAATATCTGACTGCTATAGGCAGGAGAGAGATACATGGAGACCTAATTGTCCACCTTATTTTTTTGTTCTTACCACAGGCCTATGAAAACTTTTTTTGAATTACTGACTTTTTTTTTTCCTAAATGTCTGTCTTGTCTGTCTCTGCTATTTCCAGTGTACTCAATTGACAAAGCTGATTTTCAGCCAATAGAAAGTAAAAAATCAGACTCTAGCCAAATTCACTTCTATACATCAGTCTCATACTTCCAAATTATTTTTGTTGTTTAATTTCTTAACAAGTAGAAAATTTTGTGGAAAGCTTGAATTTTTATTGTTTAAAATATTATTAAGGTTTATTTCTAAGAGCGAGTTCGTTCTTAATAAATTCATGATAGTGAGAACAGCATACTTGAATCCTAGAATTTTTTTTTTTCATTGCAGTCAGTTATGGTTTTGTATACATCTGACCTATTCTCCTACCATAGAGCTAGCACAATTGCATAATAAGCCATAATCAGGAAGCTAACAGCTTTTCTTGCAGCTTGTTGATGCTGGTTTATTCTGCTGTAAAATTGCACCCTCAGATGCTGTTTGACGTTTGCCTTGTCCAGTGTAATGAATTGGGTGCAATGGCACTTCCACTGATCCGATGAAAGACAAACCCACCGAAGGAAATGAATAGGTTTTAATGGCGTGAGCTCACTGAACCAGCTCACCATGTGGCTGTACATCTGCTAGATATGATGCAAGAGAGAAGGGGATGTGTTGCAGGACAATCCTTTGCAGCAGCAGCCCACAGATACACTGCTGGTAGATGTATAGTTAGATTATACCTCTCAGTGTTTTTCTCATAGTTTAATGAACTCGTCTTTGCACTTAGTTCCTACTTCAGTCCTGAGTGTGACATTAATAGTTTACTGTGTAATTTAATCTCATATTCAGGAATAAATTTGCTACCTGGGTTAGCAGCCTACAAGTACGTATTACCCAGTCAGTTGTTGGGGAACACACAGTTGGATGTTGCTTTTATAGCTTTCCCTGATTAAATCTCTGGCAGGAGAAGTGAAGGCATATAAAACTTGTAAACTGCTCATAAATATATACAGATAAGTCTCACTTATCACAGGAATGAAGGGAACATTTTGTTATCTTGTGATGAAAAAAATTCAAGATTAAATTCATGAGATTACACAGTTTGTTCGAACTTGAAATCTCTTAAAATTAAAAGGAACGTTTTTCAACTACTGATACAAGAAAGAATAAAAAAAACCCATAACCTGAAATTGTTTATTGTGGTTGTTGGTACTAATAAGGGTTTTTTTATTTTTTCTGGATTTCACAGGTTCTTTGTAGAGATTCCCCAAATAGTGCAGGTTTTAGCTACTTTGAAAAAACATATGTAAAGCAGTCATATTTTATATTATTATCACTTTCCCCAAATAGTGCAGGTTTTAGCTACTTTGAAAAAACATATGTAAAGCAGCCATATTTTATAGTATTATCACTACATTCTTTAATTTTAAAATATGTTTCTTCAGTGTAAGGCAACTGTGCAAGCAACATGAAAGAGGCTACTGAACACAAGATCTTATCAAATTTATAAAGTAAAAATATTTATGTAATGTTCTAAACTTATACCAAGTTATGTGACAGTGCATTTAAAAGTACAGAGAGCTAGCCATTAAATTACAAATAAGCTTGTACTAGAGATTCCACAATGGAAAGAGACATAAGTGTAGTCTACCTTTCTTTGGGAAAATCCTGAAATACATACAGTAAATGGGCATGCATAAGTATGATGCCACCTTTTACAATTCAAGCTCTAGTCTTCCTGGTAGGGTGTCCAGCTATGGACCAAAACTTACTTCTTGGCAGGACTGGAGCCTGTTTCCCCGCTTTTGGCCATGTGAAAGCGTTGCAAGACCAAGCTCTACCCCGTTCTTGTCACTTGATACTGATTTACCGAGGCTGGATTTAGTCCCTGGGTCACTTCAGTCCTTACTATAGCTGATGCTGACGGAACCAGAACGCTTTCGAAGTAGTGGCCAAAAATAAGCGAAGAAAGAAAACCTCTATACCTGAAACTTCTGCTTGGCATCAGAACACCTCTGTCCTCTGTCAACTAACGGCGCCGAACGCGGAGCAGGCTCTCTTCAGAGAAAAAGCGCTCTCAAAGTGTCAGGCTGAGATTTGCCCGTGATTACTTGGGAGCGAAGGGCACTTTTGGGGGGTTAGTTTTAATTTTTTGCTGCCGTAGCACTCTCTAAGGAGGCGCCACGGTTGCAGCAGCAGTTAACGCTGTGGAGGTAAAGGACAGACACGCCAAAGAGCCACCGCCTTCAGCACGGAGGAGACGGAGGAGACCGTTACGCTCCCTCACAGCGCAGCCCCGCCCCCAACGGCGGCGGCCCGCACCCGAC